AATATATGACATATGATTTACTATGTCCCATAACTTGATTTTCAAGGCAAAGACCTCAATATCTTTACATAGGAAAATGCAGCTAAAAAGGAAACACATAGCTATAACGAGAGTCGATTATATAGTAATGCAAGACCCATAGCAGTCGTGGAAGCATGAAGTCGTTGCACTGCCTACTGCATCCTAATAATCATATATAATGTCATTGCACCGCTGTCGCAGCCGCAAAGCCTAAATACCAAGTATGAGGTCCTTGCAATGCCTAATCACCATGCATGAGGTTTTTTAACTGCATACGGAAGCCGTGAAGTTAATCTCCATACATGAGGCCCTTATACTGCCTGAGGCAGCCACGGTGTCTAATTATCAAGCATGAAGTCCTTGCACTTCCTACTGCAGCTGTTGATTATGAGTTAATGAAAGATGGGCGGGAGGGGTGGGTCGATAGAGCCAATCTTCATTACAAGGCGAGAGTTAATGAAAAAAAACTAATTTCATCTATTATACAAACGCACTTAAATACCCTTGTGCTGGTAATAAGAAAATCTCTTCTTTCTTACGTTGCTGATTACATGTTCAGAACTATGTGATTATTCCTTACTTTCCTTACCCGCTCTCAAACAATCATAGCGAAATACTTCATATCTCAACAACCATATGTAAATCATGACATTAATAAGACTATACACAAAAACTTCATAGCAATTTAAACCGAAAAATTGAATAATGATCGCCTTGTCACTTCGTTGACAAGCTCCTCAAAATCAAACATGAAATCTGGATTTTACTGTGCCCGAATAATGTGTACATATAATTAGCTGGTGGAATAGTTTAGCAGATTAAAAAACATGTTTTGGAAGGTTTTTTCATTAGATAATAAATAACCAAGTATGAATGCTGAAAATAAAGACAAATAGATAAAAGACATTTTCTATTATGAAATAGTTTAATTTACTATTTAGGTGACAAAACCTTCATTGAAGGTTCTCTCTATGAAATAACTTTGAACCCTTCTTATATCAAAAATTATTAACGCTTCTAAATTAATTAATTACCATACATAATCTTAAATTAAAGTCTCTCGGATTTATATCATTCAAATATAAATAAAAATAAAGAGACGAATAATATTAAAATAAAGTTCTTTTGTTTCTTAGAGCTGTAAAATGTGAAATGCTAATTATGATGTTCTTTTTGGTAGAACTTTTGACAATATGGAACACGTAAAAATCTGTTTGAAGATGAAGCATTAAGACCAGTTACTACATCTTTTGTTGATAAATTATCAAGATCTGTCTTCATTTGTGCTGGAGATCTATTTCCACTATCTGAAATCATCAAAGCAACTGTTCCTGCGACTAAATAATAAAAGGCTTAGGATGAATCCTGATTTATACAAAAAAAATTTATTTAATTAAACATTTTTAATCACAAACCGTGAGGGCATGCTTGACTAGTTCCTGAATATGTTGATAAAGCGGTAGAAGATTGATTTCCAGCTGCAGTAATGTCCGTACCTAGTTATAAAAAATAAAATTAAATAAATCTATATTTAAAAGCATTTATTATTAATTACGGCGAATTTGTGAAATCATATTAAATGTGAATATATAAATTGCCTATGATTAAATCTATAGTTAATTCCATAACTCTGCCGTAAACGTAACATCCAAAATTGAGAAGCCTGCAATAGCATCTGTACCAGTATTAGTAGCTCCAACTGCAATAGCATTAGGTGCTGATGCTGGTGAAACTGTACAAGCATCCGCTGCATTATTTCCAGCAGCGATAATGACATGAATACCCTTTTTAATTAGTTCTTCAACTGCGTCATTTGTAATCTGTGAAAAGCCACCACTTATAGATATGCTATAGAATAGATTAATTAAGGTTTATCGCAATATCACAATATTTAAATGTAGAGATTGTAGGGTATATAAAATATTACTTAATCACTGTATTCTTGTTAGAGCTATTATTATGTTGGTTTCCTATATAGGTTAATGCTGTAATAATATCACTATACTGGCAACTACCCCCTCCGGTGCAAACCTTAATTGAAATTAAAGATGCTAGTTTTGCTACTCCATATTGAGTTCCTCCAACCTATTAATATGATTATTATATTTAAATTTGTTAGTAAATTATTGTAGAAAAATAAGTACAGTATTTGATAGTCACAAGATCAAAAACTGAAGTAAATGTTCTGGCTTTGCTCATTAGGATTCTAAATATACGAATAAAAATCTATAATACTTACAATCCCTGCGACATTTGTTCCATGGCTTTTTAAAAAAAAAATTTTTTTAAAAAAGATTAAATCATATAAACTATTCATTATTGTTATGAATGAAAAATCAAAATTAGATACCCATGATCATCAATGTTTGGACATTCATTACAGAAAGCAGGACCGAGTGTTGCTCGTTTTCCAAATTCTACATTATCTATATTAACACCCCTGCATGAAGGAAATAGCATTTAATGTATAAATAAATAATTGTCGAATAATTGTTGCTATATTTATTATTTTATTATTTTAATTGATGCGAAATTATGTAATAACTTACGTATCAACAATATAAACATTTACTCCAGAGCCAGCACTATTAGGATATGTATATGTTCTATCCAATTGAGGGGATTGCTGATCAATACGATCCAAATTATAAAAAGTTAGGTAATCGAAGTTATTTAATCGGGTTTCTTCAAGCAAAAATATTTTGGTGATTTAAAATTTCCTTAAATTTAAATATTAATTAAAAAATACGCATACAGTTGGGGCAAGAGGTTCAGTTGCAAAAAGCGGACAGAGAGTATGTGTAGACTTTACGGTAGTAGAAATTTTGGTAAGAGTTTTGGTAGGTGTTTCGGTAGGGGTTTCAGCAGGAATTTTTGTAGTAATTTTGGCAGGGTTTTCCCTAGAAGTTTCAGTAGGGATCTCTGTAGTAGTTTCAGTAGGGGTTTGGGTAAAAGTATAATCATTATATCGAATATGTTGAGGAGCAGAAATATGCAACGTTTTATCATTTTCGACATTAACAACCTCAGGTAAAATAGCCAATGAAGCAGCTTCGCTAGGGTTAAACCGTCCGATGTAACAAATAAATGACCCAAAACTGATAATTTTAATAATTTTAGGATCAATTAATTGATTAATATTGTTGCTAATATCTTTATTATAACAAGATTTTAAAAATGCACTATGATTGTTTACTACATTCGGTGAGGAAAGCTGAATAATGAATGTTTGCGGGTTTTCTTGTGAATTTGGTATTGAAGGACATTTGAATTGTGATTCAACCAATGTGATTAAGCAAATAATAAAACCAAAGATTGTGATAGTTTTAAAGGAATATGAAATAATAACCATATTCGAGTTTAACAAAAGAGTGTGAGGGGAAAGAATGATTGGCAATAAGCGTCAAGAATGGGACAAATGATGAATGTCTAGATCATATACATATGTACATACATACGCACGTACGTACGTACGCACGCACGTATGTATGTACGAGTAAACATAAAATTTTTAATGTGTCATAGCAGCGTTCGTGCAACACTTATTATACAGTTGAACATGAATTGAACGCAAGATCTACAAATTTTAAGATCTGTGCTAAAAATCCCTATTTGACCGGCATTCATAAATAGTTTTTACACTCCAATAAGATTAATGCATTAATGCTTATAATTTGTCGGCCTTTTTTTATTAAAAGTAATATATTACATATAGGCGAAAATTTTTGATGGGAATGTTGTGATTATTAAAATTGTGATATACGTAATGATTTATTATTAAAATTAAGTGATATACTTATTAAAATTAAGTAATGATTTATTGTGGAAGACCTTTCCATATTCTACTAATTTGATCGTCGCAAACGTTAAAATATTGTTAAGAAAATAAACCCAAGTGATGAACGTAATATTATTTTATATACTGTATTTACCAAATTTAATTATAAAAGTCGCAAATTTTGAATATAATCATTATTTTTAACTAAAAATTTTACTATTTGCATGCCAGCTTTTTGTGACAATTGTAATCTTTTAAAGAAATTTCATAATGCAGTTTCTGCAATCAAATTTAATTTCTGTTCTCTTTGTCAAGAGAGTTTTCTTACTATTGTATTATTATATAAGATGGGATTATGTAGTAGATGTGATAAAAAAAAATTAATACCGAAAAGGTTTTCAGCTGAAAATAACATGGATCCCGATATGTTAAAAAAAATCTTGCTGAATTTACTTAATCAAGTTAAAGAAAATTTTTCATATGTTAACTATTTAATTATTAAACATTGGAACATATATTTGTTCACGTGTATATCAGTATATTAATTACTTACAATTAACAATAAACCAGTTACATCCTGTGTAGTTGGATATGTATAAGTGAAAATTTATGGGTAGTATAACTAATGTGTCGGCAGCGTAAGCGGCTGATCGGTAGGTATACATTATTCGGCAAAAATTTTTGAATAACGGTAATTTGGTTCAAACGGGCAAATGAACACGTGCCGCTTCGCGGCACGTGTCAGCCAATCATTTGCCCGGTTGAGCCAAATTACCTTGGTGTATCCGATAATTTATGATCATGATTGGTAGGGGTGTTAATATAGATAATGT